TGGTCGGATAAAAGTTTCAGAGTTATTAGGCATTATGAGAGATATGCTTCAGGAGGATAATGTTCTTCCTAATCGAACCTATGAGGCCAAAAAAATATTGTGCTCTACTGGCATGAGCTATGATAAGATACATGATTGTCCAAATGATTGCATTTTGTTTCAAAACGAATATGCATTATTAAATGAGTGCCCTAAATGTGGTTTATCTCGGTATAAGAAAAAATTGTCTCCAGCAAAATTCTTATGGTATTTTCCTATAATTCCGAGATTTAGACGCATGTTTCGTAGTGAAACCGATGCAAGACACTTGACTTAGCATGAAGATGAAAGAATTATTTATGGAAAGTATCGACATCCACCAGATATAGTGCTTTTATCTAATAAAGGGATTGATGATAAAAGTGTAGATCAATGTGATATTGATGTTGAGAATGAATCGTATATTAGAAACGATCGAGATGAGAATATTATAGCGGATGCATCATATATCAGAAAAGATCATAATGAGGGAATTTGGATCAATCCATCCGTCCGTGATCTTAAGAGATAAGTAATTCACAATCCAACCAAGAAAAGAAAGAGATGTTAGAGAAAGAGGTAATATAGTAAAATGTTATATATTCCGTCATTCAATAAACTTATATATTTGTCATTTTATATACTCAATTGATTATGAAATTAGATATTTGGAATTATATATTTGTAAATATATATTTGTCATTAGATACTTATGTTTTTATTTATTACATGTTAGATAGCTAGTAAAGAGGATTACACACGTGATGATTCTATTAATGATGGAAAGAAAGCCATTAATGCAGAGGAAAGGGAAATTAAAAGAGGAATAACTATTATAAAGAAAATCATTCATGATAGAAATAGAGGAATAAAGTGTGATGTGCATTGGAATTCAAATGAACAACTAATTGAACCTAACGGTTCTAAATTGATAAGTTACATTGGATCACTTGTAAGGAGAGAAGTTCAATTACTTGTGATAATTGGAGAAACGAGCAGTTGGATACCGCTAAAGACAAAATCTGGAATGAGATACAGGTACCATATATGATGTTATTTGTTTTTTATTATGATTATGTATTTAAATTACTTATAATAATGCACTCTTTGTATGTTTTTCATAGAGGTCTTTCAACATTGATGATACCAGAAGAGCTTAGTGTCTTCAATTGGCTGGAAAAAGACATAGAGGGTTTAGATCTTTTTTATCAAACAAGTATCTAAGAGATACCGGAAAAAAATTTGTTGATGTTGAGAGTTCAAGTATATATGCAGACTTGATTTCACCGGAAGAATGAGACACTTTTAAAGACAAACGAAGAACTGAAAAATTTTAGAATAGGAGTGTCGTAAATCGCCAACGAGCATCAGGTCCCGCATATTCATGCAGAAAAGGGCGTACAAGATATGCACGCTTACAACAAAAAATAGTAAATATCTATAAATTACAATAATATACTTGTTCATCATGAGTTATAATTGATCTTATTTTTTGTCTTAATGTGTAGTTAAAAGAGGAGAGTAGTTCTGAAACATCTGTTTCGGAACACGTTTTGTGGAAGGTTGCTTGTGTGGGTAAGGATGGAGTTGTTAAAGAAGAGGTTCAACAAATTTTTGAGAAATGTGTAAGTATAACATTAATAGTTTAATTAAATCAAAAGTTTATTAACATATAATATTCATGCTTTTTCGATATTCATATAAATTTTAGGAGAATCTGTCTCAGTCTATATTTCCAGATGACTTCACTGATTGCAAGAGCATACTCAGTCGAGCATTAGATGTTCGTGAGTATTCTGATCGGGTGAGGGGTATGGGACATGAGGTCACTCCAACATCCTTGAAAAAGAAAAATCCAAAGACAAAATCTCCTAAAAATAAAGAATTACAAGCAAACATGCTAGCATTAGAAGTTGAAGTTCGTGAGTTGAGAAAGGAAAGAGAAAGAGATCAATCAGAAAGGGAAGCTTCAGGTTTTAAAGATACTAGTGACAAAGCTAGTGTCAATTGTAATGTTCAACCGAATATTCCCGAGGTAATTATATATATCATTATGAAATTAAATTAATGTAATTTATTTAATTGATATATATATATATATATATATATATATATATATATATATATATATATATATATATATATATATATACACACACGCACACACACATTAATAATGTCATATTTATCATTTTTTTCGTATGTACTCGATTTATTTGTGGCCAGCAAAGATACAAAAAAGTTGTTCTTTTTACCATATAATACTGGCCACAGGTTAGATTTTCATCCTAATTTCATCTATTATAATTTTTTGTTTTTTGACATTGTGTAAAAACTTTCCATCTAACATTTGTTTAATCTTAGTGAGTATTAGTTGTTGCTTGCGATTAATCCTGTAGCAGAAATTGTATACTATCTGGATTTGTTATACAATGATTGAACAACATACCCAGATTTGAAGAAGATGATTGATACGTAAGTGAAATTGTTCTAAATATTCGTGTGTATATTTATTTATCTATGTGAGATTGTTCTAAATAGTCTTTTATATTTTAATATAGCATTCTACAAGATTTTCGATCACAAAGAGGTATTCAAGTACCAAAGAGTAGAGCTAACAGCATTACGTGGATCAGAGTGCAGGTATATTTTCATAATTTCGATTATATTAGTGACGATACTTGATAAAACAAGTTAAGGGGGGTATATCCTGATATATATCTGTATTTTATTTTTATGTGTAGTGTCCTCGTCAATGTAATGGTATAGATTGCGGTTATTTCATATTGAGGTTTATAAAAGAAGTGCTTCTTTTGGATTGAATAGAGATTCCATCCACAGTATGAATTTCTAACTTAGGAATTATTTTAATATTTCTCATAAAATGACATAGTGTTTTAACTAAATCACATACTATGTTATATTAGTATGTAGTACTTTGACGAATTCAATTGTGCTCATTACTCAAAAGATCAATTGGATGAACTTATGGAGGAATGACGTCAATTCATTATGGAGTTGAGAATTTTATAAGGTATATTGTCTTTCTTTCATTGATGAGAATTTTAAGTATAACTTTCGAGTTTTGAGTATAAATTCGAATAAAGCTTTGTTTTATCATGGTATGAATTTCGATCTTTTGGTTTTATTTCAGGTTATAGGTGCAGATGTACAAGATAGAGCTAACAAGTTTATTGTTGTTGTTTTTTAGAAATTCTCGAAGTTGTATGTAGATTAAACATCAATTTAGAATTTTAGAATTTTCAAGTTGTATCATCAATTTTCAAGTTGTTGTTATATATATATATATATATATATATATATATATATATATATATATATATATATATATATATATATATATATATATATATATATATATATATATATATATATATATATATATATATATATATATATATATATATATATATATATATATATATATATATATATATATATATATATATATATATATAGTATATGCAAATTTGGTGCATTTATATTGGATTGAAGCTACCAAATCCGGTGCAAAATGTGGTGAAAATCTGGTGCAAAATATGGTGAAAATCTGGTGAAAATTTATTGTAGATATTAGACAGCGCTTTCTGTAAATGAAAATAAGTCTAATATTTAAAATAATTTGTGAACATTAGACATCGCTTAATGAGAAAGCGCTGTCTAAAGTGGAGAAAAAGCGCTGCCTGAAGTGGAGAAAAGCGCTGCATAAAATGGGAAAGCGCTGCCTAAAGTGGAGAAAAGACAACGCTTTTAAAGAAAAGTGATGTCTAAAGAGATGTGTAAAACATAACCAAAAACGTTGTCTATAGAGAAAGTGCTGCTAAAGGGGTACATCTAGAAAGCGCTTCAAAAGAGAAAACGCTGCTAAAGGGATGCATAAGAAAGTGCTTTAAAAGTAAAAGCGCTGCCTAAAGGGACATATAGCAGCGCTTTTACATTAATCTAAAGCGTTGCCTTTACCTATAGCAACACTGGTTTAGACAGCGCTTTAAAGCGATGTCTATTGCCAAAAAATGTTGTCTATGTGCTTGTTTGGCATAATGTCTCTCATGGTTCTTCTATGGTGGCTTCAAACATCACACACTAAACCAAATCTACAACAACGCTTTTGCTTTGAAACCCTAATCGATGTCACAAATGGAAGCGATGCACGCGCCTATTTACTTTGAGAAATTTGATGTACATGGTGATATGAAAGCTATTTCCGGGGAGGTTCTTGAATCGATCCATAAGAATAAGGTTTGTCTTAAAGGTTGAATGGTTACTCCTATGGGTTTCTTAAGTGTTGTGTTTTGTTGTTTTTTTAATATCATGAAACCTTCTCAATGGTTATGTATGTTACAAACAGTTATACGAAAAAGATGGAGATCTATTTGTGGGTTATGGTTTCGTTCCAAACGAGGAAGTAGAAAAAGAAAATATGAGTTTTTGATGTGGTAAGAAGTTCAAGCTGTTATCAAATTTATTTTCACTATTGTTCTATTGTTATTTCATTCACAGATCTAAATCTATATCAATTTTTGTTACAGAGTCTTAATATATGAAAAATCTGAGTTGACATAGATCTTTAAGAACTGATTGTGAGAGATATTTTCATGACAATCTGTTACGTATGTTTCTTTTCTTACGTTGTTAGGGTATGAGCATGGGTTGTGGATGACATCCTTATGTAACATGATGATGATGGCAATGTTCCCTTATTCTAATGGAAATCTTCTTCATTCTGAAAAGATTGAGACGATAGCTAAGAGCTGTGAGATATCTTCTACACCATCTACATAAGGTAATACTTAGATTCATGTGGAAAGATAGTTTGACTATACAAGTTCCCTTCCTGTGCTGCTAACTGGTCTAATAATATTCAATTGTAATTCTATCTATTTAAACCGAGGGAGTTGTACAATCTCCATACACAAAATGAACAGAACCAGCATCTAATATGACATCACCCATCTCGTGGACTAATAGGGTCTTTTAACATTCAAAGAAGGGTATACAACAGCATTCCACTTAGACAGCTTCTTTTCTTTTGGCTTCTTCTTTGCAATCTCTAGTTTTTGACTCTTTTCCTCAGCTAAGTTCCTCCTGCTTCTCAAGTCAGTGATTGAGTCGCTACTTGATTTAGAAATTTCCTCAAATTTTTTAACCCTAGAAAGATAAGAAGCCTCATCAAGATCAAGATCATAAGAGAGAGAAGCAGAACCTGTTTCCTTAACATAGTATTCTTTTAAAAAGTTTCTTGGATTGACCTCAAATTTCCAATCGTCCTTATCAAATATTTGTGCATCACGCATAGAAATTACCTTGTCAGCCATTGCATTGATTTCTGTTAAGTCATGTCCTTGTCTTTTCCATCATTGATCTCACTGTGACACAAACTCAGTCTCAACTAATATTTGATAATGCAGAAAAAATATTAATTTTCTGGTTATTAAATTTGTTAGAGATTAGCTACGACTTTAACTACGAAGTTTATGGATTTCAGTATGATGTTGATCTTAGCCACGTGGCATGCCAGTATCTTTGACAGTTGTTACTGCCACGTATTAGTGTCACGTCAGCTCTGTTAACGGTCCTTAACAAAAAGGACCAAAAGTGTGGATGAAAAATTTTAGAAGGATTATTCTTTGAAAGAAATATTTAAAGAAAATAAAGTTGAAAGTCACTATATTTAGAGGGACTAAAAACATATTTAACCCTATATTTTATTATGACACTTGTAAAAGCTGTTGGAAATCCACCAAATATCTATGATGAATTTCTATCAATCTTGATGCTTAAGATTGATGTCACCATACAATGACAATGAATTATGAGAAAAGATAAAGAAAAGAAAGAAGACAATTATTTTCTGCAGAGTTTCTCTCTGCCCACAAACTGTGGAAAGCTTTCTTATTCACTTTGTAACTGCAAAATACTGTGAATGACTTGATTGTCTTGCTTACAAGATTAGGGATTACTCCATCTATTTATAGATTTAGGTTAGCCATAGCCCAAAACTATAAAAGTCCAAAATATCTATTTTAGATCTAAATCAAATCTATCTAAAACAAATCAAATATGGGTGTATAGCTTGCTTCGATCCACAAGCTCTTCGACTGGACAATGGCTTCCTTCAAGATACCTGCTTCGATTCACCTCTAAACCCTTCGACACACATAGTTTTGATACTATGAATTACAATTTAACACAACACATAATTTATTATGTTTAAACTATATATATTCATCATGGCTCTTAGTCTTCGAAATACTTAGATCTGCACTCCCTTCGTCATGATGTCTGCAATCTGATTTTTAGTTTTGCAGTGTTCCAAATTCATCTTCTCATCTGCTACCTGCTCACGAAGATTGTGGAACCTCATTTTGATGTGCTTACTTCGACCATGTGCTATCGGATTCTTCTCCAGATTGATAGCTGACATGATGTCAATCTTCATGGTAATTGTTCCATGATATTTCCCTGTTATCTCTTCGACCAAGTTCACCATCCAAGTTGCTTGACATGCACAAAGAGAAGCAGCTATGTATTCTGTTTCACATGATGATAATGTCACTATTGGTTCCTTTCTCGAACTCCAAGCAGCTGATGCACTACCTAACATAAACATATATCCTGTTGTTGATTTTCAATCTCCAGCATCACTACACCAACTCGAATCAGTGTATTCCACTAACTTGCACTCTTTTCCTTTATCAGCTGCAGGAAACAAAATGTCATAGTCGAGAGTTCCTTTGAGATACCTTAGTATCCTCTTCATCGGTGCTAGATGTGATGCATTTATCTTCTGCATGAATCTACTTACCATACATACACTATATGCAAAGTCAGACATTGTATGACAAAGGTATCTCAATGACCCAATGAGTCTTCTGTATTGGGTTGGGTCGACATCATCTTCATTTGCATCTTTCGACAGTTGCAGTCTTGGTTCTGCAGGTGTCGAAGTTGAGTTGCATTCTCCCATCTTAAATCTCTTGAGAATTTCTCCTGCATATCTTCTTTGATGCATCATCAAACCTCTACTGCTCTTGTAGAATTTGATGCCAAGGAAATATGAAATCTCACTCAAATCAGACATTTCGAATTCCTTGCTAAGATCGCCTTTGAAGTCTTCGATCTCACTTTTGCAGCTACCTATTATTAACAGATCATCGACATAGAGACATAGTATAAGAAATTCACTATTGCTTCTTCTTACATATACTCCATGTTCAGTTGTGCACTTCGAAAATTCCTTCTCTCTTAGAAAACTATCAATTTTCTTATTCCAAGCTCTTGGAGCTTGTTTCAATCCATACAGGGCTTTATGCATCCTATACACCTTTATCTCTTCGTCGTGTTTCACAAACACAACTGGTTGTTTAACATAAACTTCTCGTCTAAGAGTCCATTCAGGAATGCACACTTTACGTCCATCTGACATATGTGTCATCTGTTTATTTCTGCTAGACCAACAACCAACCTGATTGTTTTGATCCTAGAAACAGGTGCAAAAACTTCATCGAAGTCTATTCTTTCTTTCTGTAGAAATCGTTTCACTACAAGCCTTGCTTTGTGCCGAGTTACTTCCCCTTTGGGATTCATTTTTAATTTGTATACCCACTTTACATCAATTGCCTTCTTGCCTTGAGGCAATTTGATAAGTTACCAAGTGTTGTTGTCTTCGATAGACTTCACTTCTTCGTTCATTGCTTTCACCCACTTCAAATCCTTCAAAGCTTCATTTGCATTGATAGGTTTGGAGTCTACATAGAAAGCATAATGTACCAACTCACCTTCATTATCTATCACATCATCTGATGTAATCACACAATCTTGCAATCTTGCAGGCATGCGTCTTGTTCTTTGAGGTCTGCTTGTACTTTGTTGATCTATAACTGCTGGTTCCTCTTGTCGAACTTCTCTTTCAACTTGAGTTTCTGGTTCTTCAAGTAGGATTTCCACTTAATCTTTCTTGACATTTTCAGTCTAATCTCATTCTTTAAGTTCATCTATGATCACATCCATGCTGATCACAATCTACTTGTTCACTAGATCGAACAACTTGTAACCTCCTATCGAATGATATCCAACTAGAATCATTTGATTCGACTTGTTATCAAATTTTCTTCTCAACTGATCTGGCACATGTCTATATGCAATAGATCTAAATAACTTCAGATGACTCAACCTAGGCTTCACATCAGACCAACATTCTTCTGGAGTAATTCCTTCTAGCTTCTTCGTAGGACATCTATTCAAAATATATATTGCAGTCGAAACAGATTCACCTCAAAACTCTTTAGGTAAATTCTTGCCTTTCAACATACTTCTCACCATATTCATGATAGTTTGATTCTTCCTTTCTGCAGTTCCATTATTTGTGGAGTATAGGGTGGCACCACCTCATGCATAATCCCTTCCTTTTCACATAACATGTCGAAGTCTTTTGACACATACTCTCCACCACCATTAGTTCTTAAAACTTTGAGTTTTCGACCACTTTGTCTTTTGACCATAGACTTAAACTTGGTAAATACCTCGATCACTTCACTTTTCTTCTTGATCAGGTAAGTTCACAAATTTCGACTGAAATCATCTATGAATGTAACAAAGTATTTGTTACCTCCCATCGAATCCACCTGGATTAGTCCACATACATCAGAGTATATGACTTCAAGAATAACCTTCGACCTGCTTCCTGCATCCTTGCTGAAGCTATTCTTGTGTTGCTTCGCCTACACACATTCCTCACATACCTCGTTTAGAATGTTGATTTCTGGCAATCCTAAAACCATATTTCTTCTCTTCAAATCTATGATGTCTCTGAAGTTGAGATGGCCTAGTCTATAATGCGATATCCATTCATCTCTTCTAGATGCAATCGAAAGGCACTTGTGCTCCATCACATTTAGTTCGATCTTGAAGGTTCGATTCTGATACATGGGAGCCTTCAATATTAATCTTCCATTTGCGTCGACGACTCTCATCATCTTATCTTCGATCGACACTTTATAATTATTTTCGACTAACTACCCTATACTGAGCAAATTGCTCTTCATGCCTGGTATGTACAACACATTGGAAATTACTCACCTCTTTCCATCTTTCCTCATAATCATAACATCACCAATACCTTCTGTTGCTAGGGTATTGTCATTTGTGAATTTTACCATATTTTTCATTGAGGGCTTTATGTTGACAAATCAGTATTTCCTTCCAAACATATGTGATGAGCATCCTGAATCCAAGAACCATTGTCCTTGAATCTATCTTCATCTCTTGTTGTGACCATCAGCACCATCTGTTCTTCTTCTTCATGTTTTGCAAGCTTTGCATCACTTTCTTGATTCTTTTGTTTTTCTAGACAATCACTCGAATAATGATCATACTTCTAACTATTGTAACATTCAATGTGACTCTTGTCAGGTTTTCGACCACCACCTCTCACTCTATTTGCAACACCACCTCTTTGGTTGCCTTTGTATAGTCTTCTTTGATTCGACACATTTTCTTCGCTCTGGTTTCTTCTACCATTTGATTTTTTGTAACTTCCTCTACCTCTGTCGAACCACTTTCCTTTACCTTTGGTTTCTTTTGCTGAATGTGCCTGCAAAGTCACATCACTATTTGACTTACTTGCAGCTCTTTCATTCATTCTTTGTTCATGAGATTCAAGCGTCCCTTGAAGCCTTCCTTTGTCAATTTCGACAAGTCTTTTCCCTCTTCTATAGCCACCACTACGTGGTCGAACTTAGGAGCCAAAGATCTCAAGATCTTCGAAACAACAGCTCTTGTTGTTAATATTTCTCCATATACCTTGATTTGATTCACTAGTTTTGTAACCCTAGTGAAGAAATCAGATATGCTCTCACTATCTTCTATCTGAAGCAATTCATATGTTCTCTTGTGAGTTTTTAACCTCACTTCTTTCACCTTTTCTGCACCACCAAAAGACTTCTCAAGAATCTCCGAAGCTTCTGTTACAGATTCTGAATCACTCACTTTTTCAAAATTTTCTGGACTCACACATTGATGAATTATAAAGAGTGCTTTATAACTCAGCTTCTCAATTTATGTGTGTTTCTTCTTTTCTTCTTCTGAAGCGTTTTCTCCAAGCGCTCCGAATCCATCTTTTACAAGATCCCAAAGACCTTGACACCTGAATAAGACTTTCATTTATTTGCACCAATTCTCATAGTTGTCTACTTTCAGAATTGGTAGAGTTGCTGGATAATTTGCATTCCCATGATTCGCCGTCGTGAATTCTTCAATCGTTCTTGATTGATACTTCCCTTAAATCGATTAACCGAGCTTATGATACAAGATGTTG